TTTGTCTGATTAAAACGTCAATCTGAGCCGTCCAAAAAGGATGAGTCATTGGGGTGTGCCATTAGGTTCTATATGCAAATTTCAGCTTGAGCTATGGAGCTCTATAAACAACAGGCTTATAACAACAGACTGCTGAGAAGTCTTCAAACAACCCAGCAGACCCCACCCACCACAGGCTGTCTGCAGAAAACTGCAGGAGGGATCAGAGATATTTCCCTAGGACAAGGGATTCCTATTCCATCTACACCTGGATGATACAGCAGGATTAACCCCTCGGCTGCCAATGCACCTCCAGATGTGACATGATATGATATACGCCATATATTGTATATTTTCTGGTGAGTGTACATCTGTCCAAGGTGGTGGATTCCATATGTGACTATTCACACATTCACACTCTGCACTTGGCGATTTTGCACATAATCTACTTAAGGACGTTTTTATGAATGAAATACGCTGGATGAATATTATTGACCTTAATATAATATAATTAATATAATTGCATTGATATATGCAGTCACGAACGCTAGAATGTATTCACTATATTGCACTTTTTTTGCATGGAAATATGTATTTTTTATTGTAGGCCTGTAATTTAGGAATAACTCCCTGAAATCTGTCCGAACAAGAGTCTAGTAAGCATTCCGGATATGATAAAACTTGAAACACAAAATCATAAATTATAATTTAATAAATACTCATAAAAAATAATAATATATTAATAATAAATTTAATTCAATAATATAATCAAACCAAAAACACTGAAATTTGAAATATAGCGCCAAGTTCGCACATCGCTAAGCAAAGTCGCAAAGTCGTTTTCAGTGTCTGATGACGAATTTCCCCCACAAATCATTATCACTCAATTCTGCAAGTGGTTCTGATTTACTATCGCTGTTCTCTAGCTGGTCTAAAACCGATTTTGACCTAAAGGGACGCTTTTTGGACGCCATGGACATTTCTAAGTTTCCAGGCAGAAAAAACAGTAAAAATGCAGGCAGGGCGCCGGACAAAGCACTCAGGACAAAATGTATGTGAAATGCTCTGATACAGGAATGTTTTGCTATGAAATAATCGTTTTAAAAAAAAGTCATTTTTTTTTAAAATCTTCAAATTTGCCGCCGGTTCCGGCGCCCATACGTCCCGATGTCACAGGGACCGGAACACGGAAGCCAGATGCAGGCATCGGCCGGAGGAGATGGCCGGGGACGCTGCAGGGGACGCAGGAGCGAAGGAAAAGCTAAGCGCTGCAGGGACTCCCTATGCAATGCTGCATGGTAAGCCCGAGTGTAGCTCGGGGTTACCGCTTTTGGTACTGAAACTTTACCCCGAGCTACATTCGGGAATACCGCCAGGGAGGTTAATAACATTACAGTTTATTGTAGGTATTTGCGGTGAGGTTTTATTGCTTGTAAAATGCTTATAAAAGGCTTCAAAACTGCACATAGGGCGTTTGGGGAGTGTTTTTAACACTTGTAAAACGCCAGTCTAACACCCATACTAACGCTATAGGAGTGTTTGTTACCAGTTAGAAATTTAGTCAAGTGTGAACAAGCCCTAAAACCTCACCTGCTGGATAAAATAGCTACAAAACTTAACATGCACTGTTTCATATTTACCTAAAAAAGAAATGTGTACATGTCTTAGGTTGTTTTTTTTTTTTCCTCTCCGTAATATGTAAAGAATAAAAAATATATAAAAGGAACCTCCCAGAACAAGAAAGGCTAACCAAAGATGGGCAGATGATCCCACATATGATCCCACATATCCGTCTATTGTTTGTGGATTGGGACCTGCTGCCATTAGTTGGGACCTGATGGCAGACAAGCTGTCCTGATGGATCCCTGTAAGTGGCAATTAATGCTTCCAAAGTCACTTTCCAGGGACACCCCTAATCAGCCCAATCTTAACCAGAGCATCAGAATGGGTTTTTCTGAGAAGGGTTTGAAAGCCATGGTCAGACTAAGGCTGGCCATACACTATACAATTTTCTGTCCAATTTACTTTAGATTTACCTTCAACTATGTAGTGCAAGGGCCTGCCTAATTGGATACAATTGAAAGTGTTGTTAGTTTTACCTCCATATTATATGGTTTTTGGTAAATCTAAAGCAATTTTCTTTAGAAAATTGTATAATGTATTGCCAGCCTAAGGCTTACAGCTGATGCATAAAAGTAGTGAAGCATAGCATACAGGTGAACCTCACTACCTGGCATTTTCCCAATGGTCACCAGTGGTCTTTCTCTGCAAAATCCCAGGAATTCTTAACACTGATCAGTCTAGAGCTACAGAGGCAATTACATTTCTATTCAACTGAAAGAATTGATGTCCAAGGTCAGCTATGATATAACAAATGACTTAGAGATCCTTCATCCCTGTTGCTGAGAAATACTCATCCTTTGCACACTACAGCACTGCCCCTGTGCCCTCTTCCATGGTAGATCGTTGCTCCCATTCTGGGCTGCATAATGTCATCAAGCTGAGCTCACAGGAGAATGCTGCAAAGAATGGCTCTCATGTCACCACAGATGGTAGGAGACTGGAACCGGGCTTTAAAGCAGAGCGCCAATCAAAAATTATTTATTTCAGGTGTTTATATAGCGTTGTCAATTTACGCAGCGCTTTACATATATATTATACATTCACATCAGTCCCTAACTGTCAGGGATCCAGGTATGACCAGAGATGTGTGGACTGACACAGGGAAGCAGCAGGCTTCAGAAATGATTAAATAATAATAATATTTATTATGAGCTGCACAAAATAAACAAACACAGTGCAAAACAAACCTTAAACTAATAGGTACAGGTGCAGTCAGGGCTGGAGAGGTGGAGTGGTCAGGCAGGCCGGGTCAGGAACAATCAGGCAGAAAGGTACAACGGGAGCAGGCAGAAGAATGGTCAGGAATAGCTGAGGTCAGTGCAGGCGGAGTTCTATCAGAGTCAGAGTCAAACAGGAGAGCCGAGCAGGCAGGAGACAGGATACAGGAAACAGGGCACATGGGAAACAAACACCGAGGCACTGACTGCAGGTCTGGCCATTCATTAAATACACCTCCTGCAATCAGCCTCAGGTGATGGCTGATTGCAGGAGTGAGCTTCTGGTTGCTGAGAGCACCCGCTGGCCAGCCCTGGTACTGCAGCCCACAAGGCAGGTGAGTCCCACCACCATTGGCGAGTCCATTCCTGACACTAACTCTCAAGGAGCGTACAACCTAAGGTCCCTACCTTACATTCATACATACACATACAGGGCCAATTTAGACAGGATCCAATTAACCTACAGGCATGTCTTTGGAGCGTGGGAGGGAACTAGAGTACCCAGAGGAAACCCTCACAGGCACAGGGAGAACATGCAAACTCCAGGCAGGTGGTGCCGTGGTTGGGATTCAAACCAAAGACCCTAGTACTGCCAGGTGGAGTGCTAACCATTTAGCCACTATGCTTCCCCCCAAAAAAAATTACAAAATAAAAAGGAAAGGTCAATAAAAAGATAAATGAACAAAACCTTCTTTTGCTGCAATATTCAGCTTCAATCCAGAGATTTCACTTGCAGTATCCTTTTTCTGCCACAAGGTGTCCTTGGTCTGATGGTCAGCATCATTTGACCCACTGCCTCTGAGCCCAGGTCAATCTGCACCTGGCCCAGCATTGACTGGACAGTGAAAGAAGCACAGTGATGAGATCACCACTCTGTCAGGCTGCGCTCTACCTATCTGCATGCTTCTTGTTAACACATGCACTCATTTGCTTCTTGTGCTGCTTCTTCCTCTCACACCCCAGCTCTGTTGTACAGGGAGTGCAAGAGGCTGATAACAAGTTTAGGTGCTTACACCGCTTTTGTAAAATAATTTTAATTATGTGTTAATGATTACAGAACCTCATTTATGTTTTTTATATCTGCCTAGAGTTCAGTTTTAACTGTTCAGTATCAAAGAGATTCAATCACCAGTGTAGCCCCAGAGTAATGGGCCCTCCGTATTGTAGTATATGACAAAGCTAAACTGCCACTTACTGTAAAGAAACTATATATCCCACAATCTCTGAGTTTAGTGCTGGTGCAGGTGAAGGGGAGGGTCCCTGTCAAGCTGCCATTAAATGAAGCTCGGTCCAAAGACATGAAGCTATTAACCCACGCTGTGCCACAAGTTCAGCACCAGGAAGAGGACGGGGCTCTCAGCAACAGCCTGCACAACGTGGGACATATTTCATTACAGGGAAGTAATGTGACTGCAGCTATAGCGGAAATAGTCATTTTTAACTAAACTTTAGCTGCAAATGTACTTTTACTTGTACGTAGGGTAATAGGAACTCTAATTACAGCCAACCTCTAGGTATAAGCTCTAGGTGAGTTTAGCACATTTACGTTTAAAAACCCTCTTTTTTTTTTTCCTGGGATAGTGAACGAACCAAACACAAATTGTTCTGACCAAAAAAGGTATTTAACTTAACTAAACTAGACAGGGCAGCGGTCTGCAGAAGCCTGCAATCAATACATGAATATTCTTGCAAAGCAAAAGAAGATTTTCTGGCTTCCAGTCACCGTAGATGCACAAATCAATATTGTATCCACAAACCGATAATAAATAGGACCTTTGGGCTTTGCAGAAGTAATGAGTTTTGAACATTTGGCAAGGTCTGCACACCTTAGAAATGACCAGCATTGTCAGATACTGTAGAGACAGGTGCTCTTGATACTTAATACAGTGCATCCAGAAAGTATTCACAGCACTTAACTTTTGTAGCATTTTGTTATGTTACAGCCTTATTCCACAAACAATACCCCAAAATGACAACGTGAAAGAAGTTCATTTTGAAATCTTGCAATTATTAAAAATAAAAAAAAAAAAAAAAACCACATGTACATTAGAGATGAGCGAATTATTCAAAAATTCGATTCGACTGATTCGGCGAATTCGTGAAAAAAAATTTCGATTCGAGTCGAATATATTCGCTGCGAATTTAACTTATAAAAGGGTGTTTCTAGGCTTCAGAGAGCCTTTATATTAGTGCAGAACACTGTACCTTTAATTTAAATGCCCTTGGAGTCTGCTGGGAAGAGAAATAATACTGACAGTCAGTATGACATGCAGATGAGTGCCGTCGATCTTAGAATCACCGCACACTTCACTCATTTGGGCAGTCACGGGGCCAAAACCAGAGTGTGGAGCCACAGTGTGGCGGTGGAGGCAGCAGCAATGGGAGGCCATACAGCACCCTATGACAAAAATGGAAACCACCAGCAGTGTGAGGAGACCTGAAAGTGGCACATGGCAGAGTGTGGCGATGGAGACAGCAGCAATGGGAGGCCGTACAGGGACCCATGACACACTGTGGACCTGGCAGCAGCATGAGGAGGCGGTACAGGGGCCCATGACAGATTACGGGCCTGGCAGCAGCATGAGGAGTAGGTACGGGGGCCCATGGCAGATTACGGGCCTGGCAGCAGCAATGGGAGGCCGTACAGGGACCCATGACACACTCTGGACCTGGCAGCAGCATGAGGAGGCGGTACAGGGGCCCATGACAGATTACGGGCCTGGCAGCAGCATGAGGAGTCGGTACGGGGGCCCATGACACACTCTGGACCTGGCAGCAGCATGAGGAGGCGGTACAGGGGCGCATGACAGATTACGAGCCTGGCAGCAGCAACTTGGACAGGAGGACGTTCAGCTTCTGCACCGTCGGGTGCATGCTCGCAAACTGTTGTCTCTTGGAAACGGATTCCAAGAAAGACTGCTGACGGAATCCGTGAAGAGGGAGTAGCAGGAGAAGGAGCATCTGAACGAGCGGAATATGCCAACAAGCGACAACAGGGGCCCATGACAGATTACGGGCCTGGCAGCAGCATGAGGAGTCGGTACGGGGGCCCATGGCAGATTACGGGCCTGGCAGCAGCAATGGGAGGCCCGTAATCTGCCAGCACCCTATGACAAAAAATGGAACACACCAGCAGTGTGAGGAGACCTGAAAGTGGCACATGGCAGAGTGTGGCGATGGAGACAGCAGCAATGGAGGCGGTTCAGGGACCCATGAGACACTGTGGACCTGGCAGCAGCATGAGGAGGCGGTACAGGGGCCCATGGCAGATTAAGGCCTGGCAGCAGCAATGGGAGGCCCGTAATCTGCCAGCACCCTATGACAAAATGGAACCCTGGGCTGGGGCAGGCAGAACCGCCGTATCTTTATCACGGTTTTCCCAGGCCACCGAATGGCGACGCTGCATATGCTGACGCAACGCTGTAGTCCCAACATGGGCCCCCTGGCCACGCTTGACTTTCTGGCCACATAGTCGACATACGGCTACGTTTACTTCCTCGGGGGCTTGACGAAAAATTGCCACACCGCCGAGTAGGAAACTTTGCCCCCGCTACTCCTCACTGGCTGACTGCTACTGTCCTCCGTGCACACGGCACCACTACTGGCCGTGGTGGTAGGCTGCAGTGGAGCTGGTGCTCTACTCCGTGGCCGTTTGCCTCCACTGACACTGCTGCGACCCTGCTGCCTCCTGGCAGCAAGCCAATGGGCAGAAAGGACCGATTACAGGACCCATGACACACTTCTGGGACCTAGGCAGCTGCATGAGGAGGCGTAAGGTAGAGGTTTACCCTGGCAGACAGATTAAGCATGCTGTAGGCAGCAGCTATGAGGTACGAAGACGTAGTGAGGCCCATCGGCAGATTACGGGCCCATGACTTAGTCAGCAATGCGGAGGCCCATGTAATCTGCCCAGCACCCTATGACAATAAAAATGGAATACCACCAGCAGTTTGTGTGAGTGAGAACCTGAAAGTGGCACATGGCAGAGTGTGGCGATGGAGAGTACATGGCCCAAGGCAGATTTGTGCCTGGAGCGATGGAAGACAGATGCACAGGGACGTGGCCGTACATGTGGACCCCATGAGACACTCTTGGACCTTAGGCATAGCTAGCAAGGAGGAGAGCTTGGGGGGGTGTTAAAGGGGGGCCCATGGCAAGGATTAGGGGCCTTTGCAGCAGCTATGGAAGGCCCTTACTGCCAGCACCCTATGACAAAAATGGAACACAAACCCGCAGTGTGAAGGAACCTGAAAGTGGCACATGTTTGGGGCATGATTCATGGCGGATTTAGTCAGTTGTGTCAGGAACTGGTGGTTTGAAATCCAGAAAACCCC